TGAATGTAGAGGTAGCGCTTGAGTCGATTTGGTTGCTCGCGAGTGTATTTATTTGTAAATTGTTCTACAATATATGTATACCTACTGAATTTTAATTATGTAGCGCGTGTATACTATTGTAGGTACTTCCATTTTATCCCTATATGACGTTGTAATAGATGGAGGATACCAGTCGTCTGTTTAATGATATCTGGAGTACGTAATTGTCTCAGTGTTTCATGAGAAAATTAATGAAGTTCTCTAATAGATCGGGCTGATCATCCGTCTGGTGTATTGATATTGTCTCTCTGTACTGGCCGGTGATGTATATTTAATATGAAATAAGACCGTGTACTCTGGCGTGATATTAATTCTTTACAGAAATCCTTTGTTTTGTCTTCTCAGCAGATTTTTATTTTATATTTGCCACCATTTGCTTCATTTTTGAATAAGTATTAATAAAATGTAATTTTTAGGGCGATGCCACTGCGATGAACCAAGAATTTTCCATCAAACAGAAATTAGATTCTTGCTGTCCGGTAAGAGTCCATTAATAGGTTAGGCATACCACGTTTTTTTAATGAAAAATTATGTTTACATTTGAATAAATTTTTTCTAGACTCAAGATAAATCTGGAAATCAACAGCTCGTTGCCAAACTCGAGACATATAAATCTTCTACACTACACCTTGTACGTATACTTGTTTACGTTCTCTTCTATTATACGCATGATGCTAGCTATAAAGCACACATGAGCATAGCATTTACCCATCTGTCATTTACCGTTATCTTTATTCAAAACTGATTGATCTACTATAGTTATTTTTTTAAATTATTTATTGAGGACTCAGGAAGCCTGTCCTTGGTTTGAGATATCCACACGAAAGTTCGATAGCAACCGTAAAGGCGCAGGCTCATGCTCAGGTTGGTGATTTTTCAATTATTACGCGCAGGAGAAGCAGTTAGGGGGTTTGGAAATAGAGGTCCGCCACGCACGCGTCGAGATGGAACAGATAAAAGCAGCGGCGATGGCCACATCCTTCGCTGGTGCCGGAGGGCCCTCGTGCAAGAACGCCAAGGGCGCCAATACCTGCTTCGACCAACCGGTATCACCCATTCAGAACAGCCTAGTTTCGTACACAAAAAACGACATGGGCATGCTGACGTCTGGACAAACATGACTTTTTAATCCCCTGTGCAAAAAGATGAGAGTTATATGTTTGCCCCTATGTAAAAAAGATGGCAGTTATAAGTTTGCCTTTGTTTGGCTGTATAGTATCGTAACTAACACACGGTGGACTGAATTAGAGTGTTTTTTTCGACTAATTTAAACGGGATGGTCTCGGCTATGATTGATGAATTCCAATTAGTGTAGGAATCTCAGTTATTAAATGAATATTTGTTTGATTTCTATATTTTACTTCTATATATTTATTTTCAATTATTTTTTATGAAATTACTTCACTAGTTTCTTATAATTATTAATACAAAGATCGGACACTTAGAAAAAATTCCTTCGATCCGGCCGGATTCGATTACATTTATGTATTAATAATTGTAACAAACTAGTGGAGTAATTTCACTAAAAATAATTGAATATAATATTCAATACAAATTTAATTACAGATAATAGAGACATCTCCAGCCAGGGTAGGGCTGGTAGCTGTAAAGTTCCTAACTGGATGACGAAATTATAGATTTCTCGTAGATGGCGCTAGGGCTAAGAAGTCGTTGAAAACCAAATACAAAGATCCGACAACAAGCATATAGAAAAATTCTAAGGTCCGCTGGTTCGTTCCGTGGCTTAGTTGGCGTAGCGTCTGGCACGGTTTGCTAGAAGACGTCGGTTCGATTTTTTTTATATTATCCAGGGACGGGACGAACAAGTCGTGCGCCTGATGATAAGCTACACGCCTATCCATAACAGTTGCAGTGCCACTCAGAGCTTAGACATAATTTGACAAGTCCCATGTACCTGTAATTTCAACCCTTCAGAACCCTTACCCTTCAAAAGCGGAACTCAATAATGCTCACATTACTACTTGGCGGCACAAATAGTAAAGGTGGTACATCACTGGATGAACTCTTTCACAAGGAGCTACTGCTACTGAAAACCTGCTGAAATCCGGCCGGATCGAAGGATTTTTTTCTGAGTGTTTGATCTTTGTATTAATAATTGTAATGACATTTGTTGTAACTTTGAATCACAGAAATCTAAATAAATGTATTGAGATTTCTGTGCCTTGATTAGATTAGATTATATCAGTTAGAATAGATTAGATCAGCTAGGACAGTCTGCAGACTACTCAACTCCCCAACTACTTACAGTAGAACTCATTGACTTACAATTATATGGACGTCGGGTCCGCGCTAAAAAGTGTCCGCACTTGTAAGGCGCTAAAATCGTATACAGAGCGCCAAACTCCGCTTTAGTCTTCATTTGTTCTACTGACAGCGCGATACTGCGATGACATTACAATTTAAATTTCGAATAGGTTGACTTGGGACATTTTTTTCGTGGTTTTTGTATTAGACCCGTCGTCCATTTATTTGTAAGTCAATAGTAGAACTGTCGTGTTTGAGTTCATTAAATTAGTCTAAACGAGTTGTTAGGTTACAGATGGTGATTTTTGAAATTTGAACACTATTTTGATTAGGGTTTTTTTTAAATTTTAAATGAAGCGTTAGTGCACTATCCTTTCATTATGACCCTGTAAATACTCTGATTGAGTACATCTATCATCTATTTGGATATTTACAAAATAAAATTACGCAAATAGTATTTATGATAAAATATTTATTATTTAACTGCCTCCGTGGCCGAACGGTTACCATGCCGGACTGCCACGCAGAGGTCCCAGGTTCGATTCCCGGGCCGGGAGAAATAATTGTATGGCCTACAATTATTTCTCTCGTGAGTTTGGGTGTAATTTGTGGTTGTCTATGTGTGTGTCCATGGCACCCGCGACACAGGGTTTCCCTAGTGCGGGGCTATGTTGAGTGTGTGCGTTATTTATTATTTATTTATTTATTTATTTATTTGCCTTGCCGTGAAATTTATGCGTGGATAAGTTGGTGGCACTGTGCTAAGAACTGCAATTGGCTAATGTGAGATGCTTTGATTACAGCCCGGAGGGCCACCGGTGCCGCCTATGACCAAGGCTGTAAGTATTCATCCATAAACACTTGCTATTAGTTGTACTAACCAAATGTACCTATTTGTAGGAAAAGAAACTTTTTTTTTTGCACCTAAATCGCGTGTATTTGTTTTTTCTTGCTTATCGTGAATATTTTATGGACAACTTTGTCACGAACGCATTAAGGTGCACATTCTGACGAATATCAATTTCAATCAGAAGTGCACGTTTTGATCATTACAATAAAGTTGATTTTTATGTAATGTTCAGCGATTGGAAATGAAACTTTATTTTCGGATGTAAATCGCGTATATTTGTTCTTTTTCCAAACATAAAGTTGATTTTTATGTAATGTTCAGCGATTGAAAATGAAACTTTATTTTCGGATGTAAATCGCGTACCTATATTTGTTCTTTTTCCAAACACGTCTACGGCTCTATAGGCCCTTTGGTCACAGCCGACTACCTTGTAAAGCGCCTGAAAAGTTCGTTTGTTTGAAAAACAAATATTCGCGATTTAAATCCGAGACAGTAGTTTCTTTCCTCTGTGTAATAATCGCAAAAACCGACATCGAAAACCGAAACCGAAATCGACAAATGTAATTGTATATAGAAACAAGTCAATATTATACTCGTATCTGTCTATCTATCTATCTATCCATCTATAACATAATACTCCCTTATTTACATTCTTTATAGTACCGACGACAAAATGACGCATAATCTGAGTATATACTACTTTCAAATTTGCGGAGGGATACGAACTAAACTACAACCACTATATATGAATATCGGTGACTCTCAATACCCGGAACACATTCTAGTTTATATACCTAGCTCTGACCATAATAAAAGGCACATGATCAGTGCCGCCTATATTGGTAATAACTCGCCTACTAAGGTCTATGAGAATTTTTTTAGACAATGACCCCGACACGGACAAATTTTTTTTGTTTGGAGACTATAATATACCGATGGCGAACTGGATTCAGGGCACGCAAAACAATAGCCTTATTTGCACAGGCACTACTCCAAATGTTTAAGTCTACGAGGATTTATGACACTTTGTGCATCTCAATATAATTATTATATAATTATTTGAAAAGCTGTGATCACAGAACGCTAGATCTTTTGCTATCTAACACATACTACTCTGTTCTTCCGATTACTGTACCCTTGCTCAAATTAGATAATTACTATCCCGCATTCATGATGACTGATCACTGTATTATCTAAAATGAAAAGTACACATTTAATAAAGTTTAATTATAACAAAGCAAATTATGAACGGATATGCACAGAGTTAACAGACATTGATTGGAGTTGTTTATCAGCTAATTTACCAGCTGAAGTAGCTCTTGATAAATTTTATGAACTAATATACAGTATTTATCGAGTTCTTAGGTTAATATTAAGGTTAATATTTAATTTTACAAAGCAAAACATTCCAATTTACGCTACATTAAGTTTTACAAATTATTTTTTTATTGAATGAATTTTTATTAAGTTTAATTTATTATTAATTATTAATAGAAATTAGAATAAACTAAAACATTTTGTAAAATTAAAACTAAGGTATTTAATTATTAACTACTACTAACTAACTAACTATTGTAACTATATGAAAAAATAGGGTGGTTTGCATTAATATTAGACATAACTGGTTGAAGACTGTACCACCTCAGTCAACCGTGACCACGGGACCTGTAAAGGGCCCGAAACGTCGGTTTGTTTGAAAAAACAAATATACGCGATTTAAATCCGGAAAAATAGTTTCATTTCCTAATATACAGTATTATTAGAAGAACATTCCGCAATCTCAACCGAAAAATCATCATTTTCCAATTTGGTTCTCAAAATCATTAATACATAATTATGTTCAAAAATAAAAAAGATATTGGATTAAAAAGAAAGTCTACAACAATAACTATGACTATTACACACATATATACATCTATATAGCTCAATTATCACTGACTGACTGAACCAGTGATTTAGATGATTGTTCTCCTAGAAGGAGTCACGGTGGGTAAAAATGATGTACGGGAGTCGTGATCGGATGGCTCCGGTGAGTACCAGAAAAATCCGAAACCTTCGAAAAATGGACTGCATCTGGTGGGACTCTAGCTGCGCAGCCAATGTATAATACCTACCTGAAGGGTCGTTGAACTAAAATTAATCGACATCTTGGTCAGTTTCCACCGTCAGTGAAAAAAATTCGAAATTCGAATAAGATGGCCGCCGTACAAATTTCAGAGCCTTATAGCTCGACCAAATGTCATAGAGGGCGGTGGGGGTCAACTGCCGGTGACAAAATTTTTCAAAACGGCCTACTCAAAATGGCGGCCCCAAAGAAAGGAGGTCCGATCCGGCTTAAATTTGGCATGCATACATGGTCCCCATACATGGTCCCCACAATGCGAATATGGTTAATATAATATGGTTGAATTTTCGATTCCGCCATTTTCTAAGATGGCCGCCATACATGTGAAATATTCTGCCCTTTGGCGTTTTTCTCCCAGAAAGAGGGCGGGAGGGTAAAAATAATATCGATGAATTATGGTCAGACGGGCTTATTGAACATCAGAAGGCAACGAAATCTTCGAAACGTGCTCCGTATTAGGTAGCACCCCAGCTGCCCGGCTAAAGTACGCGTCGTGGCCCAAAGTCTCCAAAGAAATGTTCATCCACACCCAGGCAGTTCCTACCAAGAGTGAAAAAAATTCAAAATTCGAAACACTAAATGGCCGCCATACAAATTTTGGGAGCCCGTATCTCGGCAACTATTGGAGATCTCTTAGAATCTTTATAAAGACAACAGCCAAATTTCTTGCATCTCCACTAAATATAATTTTTAATAAATGCCTTGCTGTAGGTACTTTCCCAGTTAAATGGAGGACCGCTAATATAATTTCTGTCTATAAAAACGGTCCTAAACAAAACATTGAGAACTATAAACCAATATCCATTGTTTGTACATTAGCCAAGATATTTGAAAAGTTAATCCATGAAGAGCTGTATCCGGTCTTGAGTTCCCTCATAATACCCGAACAGCATGGTTTCGTTAAGCGTAGATCAACTGTATCTAAGTTACTATTATTCACTGGCTTCGTTTTTGAAAATATAGACAACGGCATCCAAGTAGTAATACACCGATTTTCAGACAGCTTTTGATAAAATTGATCACAAACTATTACTTGATAAGATAGCCTTTTATGGTATACGAGGGAATTTACTCCGTTGGTTCTCATGTTACATCTGCAATAGGTCGCAGAGAGTCATTGTTAATGGATATCATTCAAACCTAATCGACGTAAAATCGGGTGTACCTCAGGGACCAATCTTAGGCCCGTTATTATATATATATTATATTTATAAATTACATTAGATTTTGTTTTCGGTACATAAATTTTCTTTTATATGCTGATGATTTAAAAATTTATAGAAGCATTACTAGTGATATTGACTGTACTTCACTTCAACGTGATCTTGATCATTGAACTGACTATTGTATCATAAAAATATATATAAGTATTAGTTTCTCGAAAAGGAAGATGAAAATTACATATATTTATAAACTTTGCAATAACTCATTAACAATAGTAGATTCCCTGTGAGACCTCGGTGTAATCTTAGATAATGAGTTACATCTCGACCTACACATTGACTCCATCGTTGCCAAGGGATTTCGTAAGTATTAATTTGTTATGAGAACTGCCACGGACTTCTGTCGTCTTTCAACTTATTTTTACTTAAACATTAGTCTGATTCGGCCTCAAGTGGAGTACGCATGCTCAATTTGGGACCTTAACTATAAGAAATACTCAGAACAAACTGAAAAAATTGAAGCTAAATTCCTTAAGTCGGTAAATTATAAAATATTTAGAAGTACACCATACGGGAACTTACTATCTAAGTTTGGAATGCTAACACTTTACAATAGACGAATGCTTCTTCAAGCTGTAACACTCCATAGACTTTGTCTCAATTAGATTGACTGTCCAGATATTGCACAAAATATTAAATACAATGTACCAACGAGAGTTCATCGACGACGTACGCGCTCCTACCCGCTGCTTAAAACGCCGCTGCCGAACAAATGCTGGCAAGCGAGTTCCCCTACGTCGCATTGTTTCTCAGTACAATGATTTGTTTAGTGTTTCTTGATCTTGATTGATATATTTCATTTACCTGCTTCTAAATTTAAAAAAAGCTATTATTGAATCCCTGACCCGTTGACCTACCAATAAATGGACTTTGGATTCGCGCTAAAAAGTGTCCGCACCTATAGGGCGTTAAAATCACATACAGAGCGTCAATCGCGCAACAGTCTTCGTTTGTTCGACTGATAGCGCGGTTGTCAATCATGCTTTACCATACAATAATAACTTGTAAAAATTACAGCAGTAACGTGTAAAAACAGGATTTGGTATCATATTTTCAATAAACAAATATATTGTTTTATCATAGTTCTCATTTAAAAGTGTTATTTTGAAAAGTTTTATAGTATTTCATTTATATATAAATGAATCATAAATATAAATAAAAAATGTATACAAAATAAACAAATAGCTAACTGTCCTTTTTCTACACATTGCATGCGCAAAAAATGGAAAGAGACCCATTACGTCAATTTCAAGAAGCTTATATATACTTCTTGGTCATTTTCAATTGTTCGAACCACAACCGATTGAAATATTTAGAACAAAGAAACTTTAGAGTCGCTTTGATTTAATCAAAATTTTTAAAATGGTTATTTTATTAAACGTTAGCAATAACTAACAAAATACTCGTTGTACTCGTTTACTCGTACTGTACTCGTTTTACGGCTTGGGATTACTTGTCGGAAAATACATTTGCCCGAAATAACTTTAGCTCGAATTTTTATAATGTCAACAATTTTTTACAACGTATTTTTTTAGGAAGATTAGAAAGCAAAAGCTAATTTTGTATTTGTGAAAAGCATCAAAATTACTTGAAAGCGTAACGGTTTTATTATAAATTGGTTTTCGGAATTATGGATATATGAGTTTACGTTTAGTTGGAATATCGGTACATTTCTTATAGTACACGATTATTTTCACATTTGTATTAATATTTCTATGTATAACTCATTATTATTTCTTTGTGTGAATTTGTACAAAATTCGACAATAGTATATATAGAAAATAATTAATATTTAGGATAAAGGCTACTCTATTACTCGTATGTTCAAGTAATTTTCAGTCGAAGCTAAATAGGGTGCATTTTGTTAAGTTTCCAGTAGAAGCTGAATATGATGTTTTTGCCTAATTTGGCTAGCAACAAGCAAGCCAAATTAGGCAGAACTGTAATGACGTTACAATTTAAATGTTTTAGTCTTATAGATTTCGTTACATGTCACTATGTTTGTATAGGTTAACTTTGGACATTTTTTTAGTGCTTTTTGTATTAGACCCGACGTACATTTGCGGGGTCACTTTGATGAATTTCAATTTGAAAATTGAATTGAAAAATCTAAAAATTTAATTCGGGTCGGAATTAAGGAATTCCAAAGGATTAAATTTTTGGAAGCGACTGTGCGTTGCTTACTACTCGAATATTCAACATGTTATTGTTTTTGAAATTTGGACGAAATAAAAGCGGTTTTTCATTGTCAAGTGATAAGACAAGTGCTTAGTACTAGTATAGGAAGCCGTTGTGGGCTGGTTTACATTGTCAGACAAAAGTATTAGGCGGTTATTCCAAATGTTGATACTGTACGCGTAGTTGAATGTTGGACAAATTAAATAATCTTTGTCCGTAAAGTGGTTAATTTACAATATAGTTAATTTAATTGCCTGTCAGAAGTAGTTTGAATTTTATTACTTTGATGTAGGAACCAATTTTTTACACAAGCCGATGAAAATACGAACTTGGCGGCATCATTCATACTAAGTGCTGATATTTCAGGAAATAAGCCACTTACGTCGGAATCTTTTAGTCCAGTCCTCATTAATGACAATTATAAAATAATATTTTAATATAATGTCCAAAATGAATTAGTAATAGTATAATCAATTGAGAATAGGCCTCGTCGCGAAGTGTTCTCCTCTACACTTTTATACCTTGACAATAAAAATAAAGCTTGCTAACTGCTATAGATACAAGGCTTATTTCTAAGTAAATAACTATCTAATACTCTCCGGTATTAAGTTGAAGCAATATAAAATGAAGGAATAAGAGGTTTCGCCAAAGTAAAAAGGAAATCAGATCTATATTGTGTCCTGGGGTGTATTATACCCGTATTCACGGGGTACAAAGGTGGCCATTCGTAAGGGTAATGCTGTTCTCTCACGCGTCGCCGGCTTTTATCATGATCCCTTTGGTCACTCGCGTCTTGCGGCAGGCCTGCTCGCGACTGCCCTTCGTCGTCCGCGTTGACGTCTACAATTGAAACAGACCTAAAAAAATCGGTTTCAATGCTCGCTTTTTTACTTACATTAAGAACAACGCGGACTGATGTTGTAGTTACAGATAAAGGTATAGAAAATAAACGATTTTCTATGAAAGGATATTACAAAGTTCAATAAAACGAAGTATTTTGTTACGTTAACTTAAGAGTCGATACTATCTCTGCTCCAATTCAAATGTTTTCCGTACTAATACGGTTCATTTTGTTTGGGTCGAGCGGCATGGACGGGGGTTTTATTTCAGAATTTATTACAAACGAAATTAAAGCCATTTCAAAAATGTATGTCATATTAGTATACGTGTTCTATTTAGTTCAGTTGATACAAAAAGAAATGGTATATGGAAAATAGTTATATTTTTTATCGTGAGAATTTTTAGGAATTGTGTTTTCACACCGTGTATAGTAATCGGTGTATATCCTCAACTTTACTACATATTTAGTCTAAATTGATTGATCCAACACTTTCACTGTTATGCGGAATCAACCAAAGCTATTTGAGATTGTATAGACTCATAATAAGATACAGCGCGTAAATTATTATGTCGGCGTCTGTGTAGGGTATGCGTCTCAGTCGTTGTGCGCCCGATCCGCTAGTTAGAGGTGGTCGCTGTACTCATTGATTATGTTGTTACAGTGCGGCGTCTGCCCCCCATGTCCAGCACCCTGCAACCCCAACGCCCCGCCGGTAATTATTACCTTCCTCTTGATTTACACGTCAAAATTCCAAGTAATACGACTACCTACCGCTTTTTTTCGAGGCTACGTGACAACAGAACAGTTCGAGAAAAATAGGATGATGATATCCCTGGCTTTTCTTTATGATTAGTACAAATTAATTACGTAATTAGTCAGATAATAATGAACGATAATGGCGCCGGTTTACATACATGACCTTCAATTGTCCTCGTAATTTTACGGATTATTAACTGTGTTGTTGTTTTGATACTCCTACTTAAGGTTAATTTTAAATATTTTCAAAGGTATTATAGTTACAGTTGTTTTCTTTACTTTTATCTTGTACTTAATAAGTGGGATTTTCGCAGACTCCGGCTGAAAGGGAAGTTGCACGGCTTACTCTTCAACTGCGCCAGACTGAAGAAAACTTTAAAACTAAAGTTACAGAAGTTAGTTAGTTATCTTCTTGTTGCAATATTTCTCTGTTTATTGAATTACGTCCCGTACACACTCTGATTAGCTTCTGGCTATGATCGCCTTGAACGTTTTATCCGTGTATGCAAAGAAATTCATAAGTATTGAATATATTAATATTTACAAAGTTTTTTTTTTTACAAAAAAGTAAAGAAGTAAAGTTAATTTCTCATTTTACACATTTTTGAACTTGTGATCTCAAATTTTAACTAAAAAGTATTCACTGTTTTGTTACAGTGCGCTATGTTAAGATCGGAATTCATGAAGAAAAAGGAGGAATTAGAGAAGGAGCGATGCTTACATCGCGAAGCACAGAGCAAGCTGCGTGACCTCGAGATGCGGTTCGAGCGTCTGACTACACACACCAACATGATGCTCGGCACCAAAGAGCAGGCCTTAGAGACAGAAATGAACGTCCGTGCGCTGAAGCAGTGCTATCGCGAGGCGCGGGAAGAGATCGATGAGCTGCGCACTCTAGTCAAAGAGCAGAACGATCAGTTGCAGGACTACAGGGTCAAGGTATCTATACACACATCAAAAAAAGTTTGCGATCAATAGCATAAGCTCCTATAATTCTTTAAATTTAACTTTATCAAGAAAAAATCTATGTTGTATGCTTTCTTTAAATAGGAATACCCTGTTTGAAATTAAAATATAAAACTATTTTTTATTATTTATTTAAAAAAATTGAGCCATTAATCATAATGTAATAGTGATAGAAATTTCATAGAAAGAAAAAGACTGTTTAATTAGACTTAAACAACAATTTATTATTAAAAGGTGTGAATTCAATATAAAATAACTCCTCCCCTGGCTCGAATACATGCGAAGATCCTCCTGGGCATGCTGAGGATCAAGTTATTCAGCATTTCCTGGGGTAACCTATCCCATTCTTCAATAGCGGCTTCCCTGAGCTCTGGAACTGTCTGGGGACGTGGCTCACGGTTCCATACTGCTCGTTTAAGAGCATCCCACGCGTGCTCTATTGGGTTTAAGTCGGGCGAGCCGGCAGGCCAGTCTAATCGTGTGATATCGTATTCTTGAAGAGCTGCATTGACTCGTTGAGCTCGATGTGCGGGCGCATTATCATCGACCAGTACAAATTGGTGCCCATGGTTTACTCGGAATGGTCTGACGATATCATCAATAGCAACTGCTTTGTACATGTCTGCTGTCATGAAGCCCCGATACTGGATCAAAGGCGTTCTAGCTCCAATCATAATGCCACCCCAAAAGGACACCGATTTTCCGCCTTGCTGAACTGTTCCAGTGGCAGTTCTTTGTCT